AAAGCGCTGCCGACGCGTCTGCGGAGTCATAGCCACAGCCATAGCCACAGCTAACGTCGCTAGCCAGCGTCGCCGTTAACCGCCAACGCGAACAGTGGTCGAAATGATTAATACATCTTGATGCCATTTGGTTTGTAACGCAGGCCAATAAAAACGTTTCTTTTGATTGACAATGCCAGGCAAAGTTTGAGATGCTGTCCGTTGATTACTTCATTAGGCCGGCTCCGCGGCTCGAAAGTTGCAGCTGAAAGGCCATTTGATTCAATTATGCATTTGCATGCAATTGAAACATAAGTCCGCCTGCAACAGCTGCCCATCCGCTTATCAACCTGTCCGTCTATTGGTCAATTGGTCAGCACTACTCTCCGGCTGCAGGGAGGAGGAGGAGGAGGAGCAGGAGGAGATCAGCAGCAGCAGCAACAGCAGCAGCCGCTTTTCAGTCGGTTGGTGGGCGATAATTATCTGACTGAAAAATGATCGTCTGGCCAACCGGCAGAGACTAGTCTCACTTCGCTAACGATCAGCATTTGCATTGGAGAAATGAATGTGAGCGCAAATAAAAAAAAAAACTCCAAAAATAAAAGAAATCAATAAAAAATTGATAAATCTGCAGCTGCATTGAGTTGCTTTTTTTTACGAGCTTTCATTCGCTTATGATGCGTTTTATAGGCCGCTGCGGTATATTACAATTTTTATTTGAGGGGCAAATACTCATGATAAATATTTGATAGTAATAAAACGCGGTGGCAATTACAATTAGCTTACATAATTACATATTTTATTACAAATTTTTATATTCAAATTGTAAAAATAGTAAGAAAACTAATTTTTATGTAATATAACTGTAATCAAAAGGTTTATGTAAACGTGCACAAAGCCGAGCTCTTTAAGCTAAGATTAAGGCCTAAGGCGGTCTCGTATTGTTGCCATCATTATGGGCTTACAGGTCCGATATATACAACATACAAAGAACTCGGTAGATTTCGGCTCAAGGCCCTATCGCATTCACTTAAAAGCACATATAAAGAAGAACAGTTATCTGTGGAGAGAAATATCCACCAAAAGCAATTGCTTTGCAATTGCAGGCAATACGCAGAGAATCGGGTCCAGTTCAATAAATATTCTATTATCGACAAGTGCGCACACAAATCCATAGATATTTTCGCTGATGCCTCCATTTTGGCCAATCGAAGTGCAATTGGAATCAACTTTTCTTGCTTTGGCCGCAGCGGATTCTCGGCGGCTCATCTGGATCGACAGGTTTTTCGCCGCATTGTCTTCTTTATGTGTCTATCTTTTCTTGATTTTCTCGCAACAATTGCTGAATTATTTTAATTGATTGCAGCGGAGCTGCGACGGCGACTGGTTTTCATTTGCAGCATGTCGGCAAACGGCATATGTACGCATTTAGCCATCGCGGCTGCGGCCTATTGGTAATTGAAACTTGTTAAGACATTAAAAAATCGTTTAGCACGGAATTTGGGTTAAAAATGCGTGGAAAATCGTGAAAAAATCATAGCAAAACAGAAATCAGAAAACACAAGCAGCAGACGGCAGACAGCCAAAGGAAAAACCAAATACATTTGACAAGAAATCGCAATCGAGGCAGACAGCAGCAGAAGCAGAAGAGCTCAAGCGTGTGATTTTGAAGACAAAACTTGATCAGGGCAAGGAGCCGAGGCGCAGCTGAGGCAAATTGTGTAACCACAATATACAAATTCCTGCACATAAACTAATCTTGGCAACAGCGGTGGCTCTTGACTACCGCATTTGTTTTTTATATTTATATATATTTTTTTTTTTCATCTTTGTATTTGACGCCCGCAAGATGGAGGGATGCTAATCATGCTCGGGCCAGGCACACCAAAGAAATTGTGCCGAAAACTTCATAACTTTCAGCTGCCGTTGCCTGTGCTCTTTTGCATACTGCAATAAATTTCCCTCGCAATTTTCCTTAGCAATTTGCATGCCAAACAAAGCCCCAGCACAGTGTACTATACATCTATAAGTATATTTATATATGTATATATATATGTATACTTTCCAGTAACTAACTGTATGTCAAATAGCACACGAGATAGTATCTCGCTCGTACTTCTGTGTAAATAAATATGCCAAAATTTCGTTTAATTAAAAAAATTATTGGCGCATTTTTATTTATGGCCCATAATCGAATAGGCCCCCTTTATGCAATCAAACAAAATTGCAAGCTGCATAAACAAGTTACTTTGGAGTAAGCTGCGAGACAGCAGCGAATACCAAATACTCTTTCTCTCTTTGGAGCAAGTTTTTAAGTTTTCATTTTAACAATATGAATTTAAGCATTAAATTTGAGAAAATTAAAATTAGCTTTAATGAGTTGAAGTCTTATAGAACATTGTTCAAAGTATGATGTATTTTAATTTAATGAGAAAATAAAAAAATTAATAAAAATAGAACATTTTTTTACAGATTTTTTTTTTATAATCATAAAATATTAAAAAAAAAAAAAAAAAAAAAAACCTCGATTTCTTTAAAAAAAAAAAAGTGTACATGGATATTATTATTTATTTAAATATGTAGCATTCAAAAAAGTTCATGTGTATTCATTAAAATTTACATAATAGTAACATAAATTTCTTGTTTATTAATGAATTTTAGAATATCTTATATATTTTTTACCTTTGTGCTCACTCACCTGCCACACATGCTCGTCCCTAAAATGAAGGGAACCTTTCTGGCAGATAGTGTAGCCTATCATGCTATCATGTTTTTTAAATGAAGCCGCTGCAGGCTGTTTGCATTGGCCAAAATGCGCTAACAATTTCTACGATTACGATTGCAATTGCTATGCGGCATAAAGAAATAAACTGCAATCGCAATCGGAGAAGCAGAAGGAGAAGGAGTCGGAGATGGAGTAGGAGATGGAGATGGAATATGGAGATGGAGCTGAAGCTGGAGCTGCGGCCACATGCATCTTCATCTTGACTCATGAGGCATGTGCTGGGCACATGCACGTACATGATTGGCCGCCAGGCAGCCGATCAGCCAGTTATGTCTGAGTGTACTATATGCACGTAGCACCGTAAACTTTCTTTTTGCCCGGGCTGTAGTCAAATAACAATAATCGTGGCCAAATTAGTCAATATTTGCGCCCCAAAAATATCTCTCAAAAGAAACGCTTATTATTTGATTTACTATTTTTTGTCTGTGCTTTTTTTTTGATGCATTTTATATGCATATACTTTACAAGCGATCCTCCCTCTATTACTCTCCGTTGACCATAAAATGTGTATAAAGTAATTTTTCGAATTTAAACATCATGATTAGCTAAACTACCAAGCGGCAGCCAGCGAGGCCAGGCAAATGACTACAAATGATTACGCATTTGAGCCAGGCCAAGCTCAAGTATCTTTACTTCTCTCTTTTTTTTTTTTTTTTTTTTTTTTTTGGTGAAATTTCAGTAAGCTGCCTTTGCCTTCTATGGCCGGTCAGATGAACGGGCGATAAGCTGTGGAAAACATTGAAAACGAGCTCAGTTCGAGAGTCTAAAATGCAGACTGGACCATCGCTTGGACTCTGACTTGGCCATTGGCCTGCACTTGTTGTAACTACTTGTTGTTGCTGCTGTTGTTGTTGCTTTCATTCAGGCTCTAATGGGTCGTGTCTTTGGCCGGCACTGCCGCACTTTAATGTCTTTGGAGATCAGGTGTTGATGCTGCAGCTTGACTCTGCAGCGGACAGCAGCGGCCTCAACTAAGCATTTCAAAGACCTGGCCTCACATTGCAGTTGATTTCTGCGTAGATTGCACTTAAATGTTCCTAGCAATAGCATCTGAAATATTTATACCCAGGCATTTTCTCTTCGCTTTGCCCTTATCTAAGCTATGCGCCAAGCTCTTTGCTCTCTGTGCTGTATGCAAATTTGTTAAGTCATTTCTGTTTGTGGTTCTCACGCTGCCACACCAGGCCTCGAAATGCCGTCCATATTTCTCCCTATAAGCAGACCCAAAAATCAAACAACAAAAGCAGAAAAACCAAAACAAAAAATTACAACAAATATTTCAAACAAAAGCAAATCAATTGACAATTTGAACATTTAGTACTTGCTGCACGACTTTGACGGGCCAGCAACAGCAACAACAACAACAAAACACATGAACAACAGATCAAAATCGCAATCTGAATCCGAATCTCAATCGCTGCAACAGCAACTGCACGCAAGCTGTCAATACAATTTCGATAGCTCGATCTCGGACTGACCAAATGGATTTCTAATCAAGGCAGCAGCCACCCTGCAGTCCAAGTTGATTTTATTCTTATTTCCTTTTTTTTTTATTTTTTTTATTTTGGCAGCACCAGCTAGGTTGCCTATTCTAAATGCGACTCGCAGAATCTATGCAAATGAAACAAAAAAAAAAAAAAAAAAAAAACAAAAAACAAATTCAAAACTGAAATAAAATAAAATAAAAGACATCGTGTCACCGCGTCAGCATTTGGTTTTAGCCAAAGTCCAAGTGCGGCTTCAGGAGATTTACGAGCCGGGCACGCCAAATGTGTTTACACTTTGTCACCCTTCTGTCAGTTTGATTTATTTGTTTGCAGATAGCCAAGCAAAAAGCTGAGAAGGCTAAAGTAGCTGGCCAAATTAAAATGCAAGTATTGCTGGAATGCACGCTGGCGAGCCGAGGTGAGCCGAGTGCAAGAAATGGGCGAATGAATGACTGATTGACTTATGCAGCCAGCTGACAAGTGGCTTAAATAAATTAATGTACACACACACACACAATCGCACACACACATGCCTGCATGTCCCCAAAGAGATTCGAGGGAAACTGTTTACTAATCAGAGGCGTGGATGAAGTTGCCAACAACAACAGCAGCAATAAAACACTTAGAGCTGGTTTTATTTCGTTTTGTTGCCTGTGAATACATTAAATTTCAATTATATACATTGCGAAAGCACTAAGATAAACGAATTACATTTTAATAGTTTTTCTTACCATCTTTGTCAATTGCAGCTTGAAAGAGACAAACGCAAAAAATTCAGCAACATTTATTCTCCTGGGCCAGCATTGAACAGAGTTTTGCGCACTGGAAATACACGCACAACAAATGATTGGCACCGAGGATATGTCCACATCGACTGGCATGGATATCAGTGAATCCTTTCGGGCCGAGGATCTCTCAAAGACGGATTTCTTCGATTTTGTCACGGCGCCGGACATGGGCATTGGCATTGGTGTTGGCGTCGATGTGGGCGTCGGTGTCGGCGTCAGCCTGCAGCAGCAACCACAGCACCATCAGCAGCAGCAACACCAGCAGCAGCAGCACAATCACAGCCATAGCCAAGGTCATCAGCCAACGACATCACAAACGCCGCAACCGAACCACCACGCCGCCCGAACCACCAGCAGCATGACCCACGACATTGGCGAGGGCGGCGGCGGTGGTGCTGGCATTGTCCCGGTGAGCAATCGCAATGGCAACAGCAGCAATGGCGGCGATCCCACGTTACAAGGCTACGAGGTGAGTATGAAGGCATCATCAGATCCTCGCTAGGCGTCAATCACTGTTTATCTAAACCGAATCCTCTCGCTCGCTTCATTTCATTTCATTTGATAGTTTTGGCATCAGGACAAGGACAGCAGCCGCCTGGACTCGAGCTCGATTTTCGAGGACCTCGATCGCTACTGCTGGCAGCAGCAGCCGATCACAGCCAGCGCCACGACTACTGTCAATGCCAGCAACGTGCGCTGCAGCAACCAGCCAAGCCCCACGTCTCCGCAATCGCATCCACACTCACACCCACATCCCCATCAGCAGCAGCAGCAGCAGCAGCAGCAGCTTCAGCAGCACCAACAGCAACAGCAACACCAACAGCAGCAGCAGCCAAACGCCAGCAGCTCGTCGAGCGCTGCCGGCAGCAGCAGCGACACCATCAGCAGCCTGGACACAACGGACGGTCAGATCTACACATTGACAGTATTAAATGGCGGCGAGCCTTGGCTGAAGCGTGCCGAGGCGGAGCAGCTGCCCAGCGCGCTAGACTTGGACAGCTTGCTGGGCAGCTTTCCGGGCTACATCAAGTCGGAGTACCCGTACGACGACAGCGGATTCAGCACGGATGGCAAGGATGTGATTGTCAATGGAGCGGATGCCAATGGCCTCAGCAGTATTTCGCAGTCGCAGTCGCATGGCCAGACGCTGCCCTCGCTGGTCACGGCCATTTCCATAGCGGGCGGCGGTGTCAATGAGCTGGGCCAGCAGTTGGCTCAGTTCCAGAACAACAACAACGACTGGCACATGGCTGATCACAATGCGGAGGCGGAGCAGAATACGGCGGAGTCCCTGTTGCGCAGCGCACTGCAGGGCAAGGGCTACGCCAAGGGTCTCCACATGCAAAATGGACTGGCTCTGCCCGTGGTCAAGGACGAAGAGATGCGCAGGCTACTCTTCACGCCGGACGATGCCGCCGATGCGCTGGGCTTTGCGGACTCCACGCTCAGCACTGCCCAAATGTTCGACGATGCCCAGGCCATGACCCACGGTGGACCAAGCGCGCACATGGCTGGCTCGAATCACGGCCAGCACGGCGGCAACGCCAGCATCATTGTCGACGACATGTTCCTCTCGCTGGAGAATGCGTTCAGCGACGACTTCGAGAAGATCAAGCGCATTGCCAATGAGGTGCAGCAGTTCTGCAGCGCCAGCACGGGCACACCCACTCCAGGTGACTACGCCAGCGGCGACGTGCTCATGCAGCTGTCGCCGAACGGCACAGCGACAAACGCAGCACAGCAACTGCAGCCGCTGGCCAATGCACAGCAGCAGCAGCAACAGCAGCAGCAACAACAGCAGCAACAGCAACAGCCACCGCCCCCGCAGCCACTGAAGCCCGAGGTGTCCACGTCGACAGCAGCCGCTGCTGTGGGCACAACTGCGCATGGAGGTCGCCTGGGCGGCATCAGCAAACCCAAGAAGCAGTACAAGCGCAGCAACAGCAGCGCCAACAACAACAACAATCCTAATGTGGCCAACAACAACAACAGCAGCAACGCCAACAACAACAACAGCAGCAGCAACAGTGTACTGGGCGTGGTCATAGGCAACGGCGGCAGCTCCTCCTCGAGCGGCAGCGCGAGCAGCAGCAGCAACAGTCCGCCCGCCAACTGCAACACCAACTCGGGAGGCAGCAGCACCGGCGGCGGCGGCAGCCAGCGGAAGGAGCGTTCGCTGCACTACTGCTCCATCTGCTCGAAGGGCTTCAAGGACAAGTACTCGGTGAATGTGCACATACGCACGCACACGGGCGAGAAGCCATTCGCGTGCTCGCTGTGCGGCAAGAGCTTCCGGCAGAAGGCACATCTGGCCAAGCACTACCAGACCCACATGACCCAGAAGAACAATGGCAGCCTGATCAAAGGCAGCTCCGGCAAGCACCAGCGCGCGGGCTCCAGCAACGCGGGCGCAGCTAACAGCCTAGCCCAGCAACGGCAGCTGAGCGCCGTGGCCACCGCGGTGGCCAGCCCCAGTTTAATGAGCGCCGGCGTCGTGCTGAGCGGACCAAATACGCCGCCCGGCGTCTTACCGCCAGCTAATGGTCTGCTCGCAAACAGGTAGTAGAGCCGACCTTGGCTATATACATATATATAATTATATACACATAGGCTATGTTCCACAAAAAGCAAATGAAAAAAACACAAACAGCAAACTATTTCTTGTTCCTTACTAACAACAAAACGAATTATATAAAAATATATTAAACTAAGCTAACTTTTTGAATACTCTTGGGAAAGTGTTGAATGTCATTGATGAATTCCTATCTCAGCTTTCTGTGCAATTCCTATATCACAAATACATCAAGACACACTAAATGCACTTCCAAATCAAATACTCTCACACACACATACACACTCGTACATACACACACAAATTAATTTTAAATGTGCCAAATTTAATGGAAGAGCTAAGAAGTTTAAAGCAATTTCTTAATATTAATTAAATAATTAAAAGTGAAAACGAAGCTAAAAAGCAAATTTACGCGAGGTGATATCTAAATGAGGCCAAACGCTTCCTTAAAAAAATTAAATAAAAATAAAAAATAAAACAAAAACACATGAACTCACCCACATTAATCAAATACATAAATTAATAATATTTATGTTTAATAAAAAAATAAATTAAATATATTTTGTGAAGCGTTTCCTGTAAATTAAAAGTATTTCATTTTAGTTGCTTTGCCGCCCCTAATTAGCATAAGGTTAAAGCTCGTCAATGTAAATAGTTAATAACTTAAGCTTAAAGCCAGCAACGAGAAGAAGCTTGAACACTTCAGAAAAAATAAAAATAAAATAAAAATATTATAAAAAGAACACTCCGAGAAATACGAATTTATACATGTCTTCTCTTCAAGGATCTCTCATTCCCAGGCACAAGCTAATCTTCTATTCGATAATGCTCACACACTTTTTCGCCAGCCCTGAGAAGTGTTCATGTTATCCACGGCTCAACTACTTGCAGAAACACTTAGAAAATGCTCCAATGCATTGCACTTGCCATTATTATTTGTTCGTATTTGATAAATCGTCTATGTTACTCGATTAACTATACATATATTCAACTTCTTCTTCTGACACTCGCCGCTGTTTGTATGTACTATAAATAAATAAATAACTATACAAAATATCTAGGCTAAGTAACACAAATTGAATATAATTACGTTTAGGTAATGATTAATTAATAATTAATTAAACTGCCAATTATTATGTGATAGTTTTAATAAAAATTAAATAACAACAAAAAAACTTTATTTCCGGTGTTTGGGTTACGTTACACATATTGTTACATATATATACATATTTACTGATTTACTGTGAATTTTGCAATATTTTCTAATTTATTGAATTTAATTTATGTACATAATTAATTTTGAATCTAAGCCCTTGTTTATACACACTGCAAATCGAATTACATTCTTTAGTTAAATGTTTGTTAGTTATTATTTATGCAAACAGAAAATGCAAAAAATGAAAAAAATATGAAAAACACAGAAAAGAACAATTTTAAAAATTTACCAATTAAGTTTTATAATAATTTAATTTAATTTAAGTATTGCAAGCATTAAACATCAAAATAAAGAAAAATAAAAAGTTTATTGAATCATCGCAATTCATGGCCGAGCAGCAAGAGTCTTGGAGCAGAGTCTTGGCATTGTGTTAATTAGTTTTGCAGGCCGCTAGCTGGACGGAGATCATCAGGGGCATATAAATAATTTTCTCCAATAAAGGAAGCGCATGCAAGCGCATGCAGCTGCGCATGTCAACAACAACTGCAACAACAGCAGCAGCAACTGCAGCAACAGCGGCAGCAACATCGGCTGCAACATTACACAGGCGGCACTTGTCAGTCAAAATCAAAGTGCGGAGCTACTGCTGCATTAACAGCATCATCAGTGAGCTGTGCTGCGGATTTGTGGCAGTGGGGCAAGGGGGAGTAGAGAGGCAGCAAATGCGTGCCGCATGCGCCAGCAGCACCAACAGCGCCAACAGCAAACATCAGTGCAGATTAGAGAAAATGTTTTACTTGCAGCATCTGGCAGGCAAGCGGCAAGCGGCAAGCGGCAACTGTGAGCGTAGTGAGCGGCAAGTCATTTGAGATCGAAACATGTCGATTAGGGAATTTTAAGAGGCGCCAGTTGCCAGTTGCTGGTTGCCAGTTGCCGGTTGCTGGCGCAGGTGGCTCACATCATTCGAGACGTCGCGACGTCTTCGTGGCACCTTGGGGGACCTGCAGCAGACCCAACCGCAATCGCCGCGCTTGCCGCTGCACTGAACAAGCATCTTAATTGCATTTGATGAACTTTGAGCCAACATCTCCTGCCAAATGGCCATTTGCACAAAGAAACGCCGAACTATGCGCACTTTGCACAGACTTTTGACAAATTAATTATCCAAGATGAAAATAAGAGTGGGAATGAGTTAAACTTGGGCGCATATGTGATCGATTCGCAATAGACAAAAAAAAAAAAAAAACAGACTTCAAATTATTGTTGCGGCTTTTATTTAACTAAAGAATGACGTTGGTGTAGGCGACTATAATAATACTCATTTATTCATAGCCTAAGGATGAATGGACATATCAGATAGGACCTTATATGCATGGGTAGGTCTGGGAACTCAACCATATTACAGCTACACTGCATGCTGCTAGCTCCAATGCTGAGTGTCTGGAAGGGTATAAAAACTATGATCCCAATCGAACGTAAGTACATAAAAATATTTCTTTAAATAAGTATATAAATATGTACCTTATATTCTAAGCTAGCTAGCTAACATAACAGCTTAGAAATTTCAATTTCAATTCAATTTCAATTTCAAGTTTCCTTCCCCTCAGTAGCAGCCAAATGACTAAAGTTCATATGGACAGAAAGACGAACAGACGAATAGGCGGACAACTAGACGAGCACAAGGGCAGACAAGTAGATTTCTAGACTAACACCAATCAATTTTCACTTCATGAACGAATCAACAATCATATCTAAATGGATTTACGCTGGCGTCGCAATTTCAATCGATTCCGAAAAATTTCCAGCAGAAGCACAATTGAGGAAAATACGACCATGAAAGCATAGCCGTACCACACATACTGCAGGTCCTGCAACTGCATGGGTTGAAAGTCCCTGCGTGGACTAAGATCCGAAAATTTCAGCTCGCCGGACTCGACCATTTCCGCAAATCCGTTTCTTGTCCAGTAGCTTACAATACCCGCATCAGTCAGCTGCAAGATGAGTCTGGCTATGGGCTGCTTGTAAATTGCGTTTTCATTCACCGGAAATCCAAGGGGAATATTATTGAAAAAACAAAAATCGTTGTGCATCCGAAACAGGGGTCTACTAAAGATGTTCTGCTGAGCATTTACGACGACCCATTTGATGGTTGGCATCATGTAGCCCTGCGAGGTATCCCAGGAGTCACGCATGCGCAAGAACTTGTTAAAGTTGGGCTCGACCAGAAACATGCGCTCGTATTTCTTCAGATCCTTGGCACGTGCTATGAGCTCGTTATACTCCTCCTGCCAGGCGAGTACTTTTATCTTGGAGGCCAAAATATCATCGTAGGTCCGGAAGGGCGCCTCCTTAGGAATGCTGGTCACGAAAGCCGAGAAGTACGAGTTGTACCAAGCAGTAACCAGAAAGCCAAGAACACAAATATGCATGTAGATTGCACGTATTAGCAACGAAGCTCGGCGAACCTGGTAAAAGGATTGCCCCAGAACTCCTCTCAAGCAGTTATCGTGCAGTATAAACTCATACAGCTGCACAGAATAGCCATGGTTCTTCAGAACCCCCGATAGTGTCATTGAAATTACAAAAATAGCGGCCAGAGTGAGCAGAAATGACCCAAGATCGAACACGTTGATGTAATACTCAGCGCGTGGTATGTCCGCCTCCACAGGCAGCATCACACACCAGTTCAACTGCTCGTAGGGATAGGTATACTGCAGCATATCATACCCTTCCGGGAACGTAATGGCCAAAGAGATGTCCACAGTATTGTTTCGCACGGCTGCGACCAGTTCCGCTGATGGAAGCAACGCATCCGGCTTGAGAGGAATCGGCTGCGTAAAAGTGCAATTATATTTCTGCTCAAAGACCTCCATGAAATGACCCAAAGTGCCCTTATACACGATATCTCCCTGTTTGTTATAATAAATTATGATTCGCGGAGTAGCCCCTCCAAGTATAGCCCTCACTTTGAATCCCTTCAGATCCCGCAGACGATCAGGAAAGATGATTGAGTTGGGATCAAACAGGCGCTGCTCCAATTGGTAGCTGGGAAATGGCGAATAGCTGTAGAAGGTGTTTGTTATCTGGAATAAATAATTAATGAGTTAATGTATGTGTATTGGGTATGCAGTATACCTCATAGTCCTCGAATATCGCCAGCACATTCAGCAGCCTATTTTCCCAGCAGTAGGTGAACAATTCGTATAGAAAAATCTCGTTTACTCGTTCCAGTTGCACCATAAATACGACCCGCGAGACGGTCATAACTCTCAGGTTCTTAACCAGTGAATCCAGCAATCTTTTATTCATCTCAAAATCCGTTCCCAGCAAATGTGCCACAGTGAGTATTATATTACTGTTTTTGTCGTACAAGAAGTAGGTAACGCGCTCATCCAGTTGAATCACAGGCGTTTGCAGATGGTCTATTAGACTCTTAACAAAGTCTTGGCCATCATTGAGATCCCTCCACTCACTGTTATTTTGATGTTTCATCAACAACATATAATTAAAATGTTCCTGATGCTTAATGCTTCTCAGCAACTGCAGAATTTCCGAACTATTTGCCTCGCCTGTCCAGCTGATAGTCCAAAGCAAAATAACCCAATGACAGACCATGGCGAGCACGAACGAACCACTGCAGGACACCGCAACATGTCACCGCCTTTTTAAAGGGTTACTAATGATCCCGAGAAACACAAAAAATATGTCCAATTGGTGCTTAACACGCGTCAAAACAAAACCCTGGAGATTACAAGCAAACGATGTTAACACTGCTCGAAGTGAAAGAAACTTATATCGGGGGGCTGACATCAATTCGTTGGATTTTTTTTTTTTTTTTTTTTAATTGGTATTGCATTGTTGTAGATAGTTTAGCATAATTACTTATATGACAGAATCAATATAAAAGAATGTTAAGTTTGTCAATTTTTCAAATCCTATACTATGCAAAAATTAACAGTTAGACAATAAATACTTTCATTACATATTTTTAAATGTAATTTTTTTAACTAGATATTTGTTATTGAACTTAAATTCTATTTATATATACAATTAAATAAATAAAATTAATAAAAAAAGGTTTTTCTTTTTTTTTTTATTAAGCTAAAAAAAAAAAACTGACAGCTCTTCTATAAAAAAAAAAACCTTAAATTTCACACATTCAACTTTACTATTAAATTTTGTGTGTTTTTTTTTTAAATGAATCCATTTTCAATGGGAAATCATAGTAGCATAGTTTTGTTTTTAATTTTTTTTTTTATACCCTGAACCCATTGAAAATGGGAAATCAGGGTATAATGGTTTTGTGAAAAAGTATGTAACA